TGCCTACACATAGCCACCTGCCTTTGCTCACTGGTTTTAACCAGGGGAGCCCAAAAGCCATGCTGTCCAGGTGCTCCCGGGCTCCCCAGCTCCAGGCAACCCACAGACGTGACATCCGACTCCTCCTCGGTGTGGCACGATCACAGCCCCCTACATTGGGGAGTCAGCTGCACACCTACTGTGTACTGGGCCACGGGGCACAAGGTGCTGGGGCATGTGGCCTGCCTAGGGTTCCCTGTCTCTGGAGGGGGACACATGACCCTGGCACAGCACCAGGGGATGCCCGGCCTTAAGGGGCAGACTGCTGGAAGGGGAACTGGGATTTTATCAGCCAGAGATCCGTGTGGTTGATGAGGGTGGGAAGGGCACAAGAGAAAGGGACTGTGTCACTCAGCCTGGCACATACAGGGACCAACGAGTTGCCTGGCATGTCTGGAAGGCAGAGGGCACACTGGGCGGCCCTTGTGGTCAGCAGCGGGAACAGGCAGAGGAAGCAGAGCTCAGTGAGTCAGGGAGCTCTGCACTGCGTGAGAGACCTCGGGCTGTGCCCCACAGCCGGACGGGGAAGCCAGTTGGGCAGATCTGCCTGCCTGGACAGGAGACCAGGAAAATCCAGCAGCTGTTTCAGCTCCTGCCCTGCAGACCTGGAGGCTGGGCTCTGGCAAAGTGTGGGTCCTGGCAGGGTGGGGACTCAGGGGACTTACCCAGTGTGATGCTGAGTGCTAGGGCCATGTAGGCAAACTCCAAGCCCTCCTGGGGCTTCTCCAGCGTGGCCAGGAGTGCCACCAGCTTGTTGCACAGCTGTAGCTGCAGCTCCGCCTTGCGGTTGCCCGTAGTCACTGCCAGGGGCAGGGCCTGGTCCTACCACACAGGCAGGTGGGGTCAGGTTTCTCGCAGCACCCACCTTGCCCAGCGCCCTCCTCAGAGTGCAAACGTGTGCTTGGAGCTTCCCACGCCCCAGCTACCCCTGCACCTCGACACACCTCTGTGCTCTGGGATAACACACAGTTCAGACACCCAAGTTGGGGGCTGAAGAGTCACCTGAGGCCCATCCAGCTACACCCGACAGCCTCAGACCAGCCTCTCCCACCTCCCACCGG